GTCTTCCGCTACCTCACTCGCAGGGAGCTCTGCGAGTGCATGCGGGTGTGCAAGACCTGGTACAAGTGGTGAGTGTGGGGACACCGGGGGGGTGCACAGCCAGGCCTGCCCATGTCCTGACCCCTGCGCTGGGCACAGCCGTGATGAATCTGGCACCTGATGGGCAGCCAGAAGGGAAGGGATCTCCCAGGAGCTGGCGTTGTCTGCAGACCCTGTGGCCAGCTGCTGCCTTTGCCATATGCGCACTGGTCTTTTTATTGTCCCCTTCTGCCTCCCTCGTGTTCCCTCTGTTGAGAGACGGTGGCAGGCTGTGCTGTCACCTGAGCACCTGTGTCCCCTGCTGTGTCCTTGCGAGGTGCCCGTGTCCTTCCTTGCCCGCCGCCCTGCATGCTCCTTGCCCTTGGCTGCCTCCCGTCCTCTTCAGCCTCCCAGCAGGCTGAGGAGGGGTTGGGTTTGCCAGCTGGAAGTGCCACGGGGGGCGGGCAGCAGGCCTGGAGACAATGCTGGCGCTGGGACAGCTGTGCGTGGAGGGCTTGGGAACAGACGGGGACTGGAAACTGGGAGGTTTCTGGCTGGCGAGGACAGCACACTGGGGAAGAACCTGCTTTGATCACCAGTGGGTGGAAATGGTGTGGTGTGGTGGCTGGAGAGTGTCCCCTCAGCTGCCACTGATGTGGCATCTTCAGGGTTCAGCTGAGCTGCCCTTGGATCTTGGGTCTCCCCATGCTCCCATGAGAGGGTGGGATCAGGCTGAGTGTTTCGCATGCTGGGAGTGAGGATGCTTAAGATCCTTGCCCTGGTGGGAGGAGGGGGCAAGCAGGCAGGCAGCTGCGACTCAGAATCTGCTTATGTGGCAGCAAAACCCTGCTGGAGCTCTTCTGCTCATCCCTGGGTGGCCAGACACCCCCAGGGAAACCAGGCAGAGCAGCCTTGGCTGCGGCTGGGGCCATGCCAGAGCTGGGCTCCTCTCTGAAGCCAGACTCCTGAACTATGGGGCTCTCGGGGCTTAACTTTCAACCTTGTCCTCATCCCCAGGTGCTGTGACAAGAGATTGTGGACAAAGATAGATTTGAGCCGGTGCAAGTCCATCACCCCCCAGGCACTGAGCGGCATCATCAAAAGACAGCCAGTCAGCCTTGACCTCAGCTGGACCAATATCTCCAAAAAACAGCTTACATGGCTCGTCAACAGGCTGCCAGGTGAGCATGGGCTGGGGAGGGGTCCCTACTTCTGCCTCTGGCCTGCTCCAAGGTTTCCTGATGGCTGGACCACAGCAAGAGACGGCCTCTATGCCCTGGTACAGCATGAAAACTCGATGCCTGGCTCCCGTCACCCAGCCAGTAGTGCTGTGGTTTCCTGCTGCTGTGTGTTAACCTTTCCTGTCTCCCTGTCCCACCCTGAGCAGGGAGGGGAGCAACTTCCTCATGTACCTGGAGAAAGAGGGTTGTGATCTGGGACACGTCGGAGCCGACCAAGCCTGTCTGACTTGTTACCTCTCTCCTTTCTCCTGGCAGGCCTGAAAGACCTCATCTTAGCTGGCTGTTCGTGGTCTGCGGTCTGTGCTCTCAGTACCTCCAGCTGCCCCCTTCTCAGGACCCTCGATCTTCGGTGGGCAGTAGGAATCAAAGACCCTCAGATCCGGGACTTACTCACGCCTCCGACAGACAAACCCAGTAAGCTGTTGCCCAGGCTGGGGCGGTGGTGGCTGAGGAGGGGTCCCTGCAGGTTGTGGGGAGCTGGAGGAGGGTGATGTGCTGGGCGCGGAGCTGGAGGGCAGTGCTGGATTCAGAATGCCCTCACCCAGCAGGGCAGGTCATCCACACTCGGCTTCTCCTCACGCAGCTTCTCCTCTCCCTTTGCAGGTCAGGACAATCGCAGCAAACTCCGCAACATGATCGACTTCCGGCTCGCCGGCCTGGACATCACCGATGCCACGCTGCGGCTGATCATTCGCCATATGCCCCTGCTCTCCCGCCTCGACCTCAGCCACTGCAACCACCTTACGGACCAGTCGGCCAACCTCCTCACAGCCGTGGGCTCTTCCACACGCAACTCCCTCACCGAGCTCAACATGGCAGGTGGGTGCCATGCTGCTCGGGGTGGCCCAGGCTGGTCTCCCCATTCACCTGTGTAGGACCGAGGGTGGCATGGCTGGATTTGCCATCATAAAACGGCTTCCTCCTCCCTGCCTGACATGGGAGCTCAGCTCTGGCTTGGCAGAGGCGTTGCAGCTCATTCTTCCTCTCATCTCCCCACAGGCTGCAATAAGCTGACGGACCAGGCCTTGCTGTACCTGCGCCGCATCTCCAACGTCACTCTAATTGACCTGCGAGGTTGCAAACAGATCACCCACAAAGCCTGTGAGCTCTTCATCTCGGACCTGTCCATCAACAGCCTCTACTGCCTGTCCGATGAGAAGCTGATCCAAAAAATCAGCTAGAGACCCTCCCCGGGGCAGACTGAGGATAAGGAAAAAAGCCCATCCCACCCCTCTCGGAGAGCTGCTCCTCCACATCCCCACCTTGCCCTCCGTGTCCTGCCACTGCCTCCCACCTGACTTGGCAGGCAGGGCCGCTGCTGGCCTCACTCCACCGTCCTTCCTCCTCCTCCCTCGGGACTTCTGCCGATTAAGATGTCCCGCCAGGCTGGCCAGTACCAGAGGAGGAACGGGCACATGGCAGGGAGCCTCAGCCCGGAGGCTGGCCGCTCCTGAGACGGAGGTTGTAATAGAGATCTCTGTGCAGAGAAATGGGGCACCCTCTTCCCCCGTCTTTTCCCCTCCTCCCTGTCGTCTCCTTGCCTTGAAACACTTGTCACTTCCCCATTAGCACAAAGCTTGAGGGTCAAGGTCTCTCCAAGGAAGCGGGAGCAGAGCTGGAACAAATCATCCCCCTCCATGCCACCACCAGCTGAGCGCTTGTCAGTCCCGTGCTCTCCGCCCCCTTGCCATTTCCCTCTCCCGCTGCAGGGGCTGTGGCCGAACCCCTTCCTTCTCCCACCGCGCATCCAGGCAGCTCCTGTGCCGAGGGCAAGCGCCCCGCAGCTGGGGTGTTGCAGAGTCGCTGGTGGGCAGGAGCAGGGGTGTTACAGCCCACCCTTCCCCTGCCCGAGGAGGTGAGGCTGGGGGTGATGCACTTCCACTCGGGGCTTTCCCAAGGCACCGTGGCCAGGGCCGGGTGCTGGCTGGGAACAGGGGGGAAAGCACAGGTACATCAGAGCTCAGGGAAGACTCAGAGCATCAGCCAGGGGTGAGCGAGTGCACGGGAGGACAGGAGCCCCCTCCTTTTCCTCCCCAGCTCCCCTGCATGCAGCCCAGCATCATGAAGCACTCTCGGGCTGCCTCAGCTGGAGGGGCAAAGGCTGCTTTGTGGCCTGGGACCGAACTGTCACGAAAGCCCCACTGCATCGTCCTCTCCGTCCCCTACCCCCATTTAGCTGCCATTTTTCCTTTGCAATGAATGGTCGGTCCAAAGAACCTCTCTCTAGGGCAGCAGAGAGCTTTTTGCACTTTAAAAAAAAAAACCAACAAACAAACAAAAAAAACAACAAAAAAACAAACTTAAAAAAAAAGGAAAAAAAAAAGGTTGGAATCTTCTTTTGGGTCACTATTTTATTTCCCTCCCTGTCCTGCCCGTGACTGGGCACTCCCCATCTCCCCCGGTGTCAGGACCCCGCTCTCCCTGGCTCCCTACACATAGCACAAAGCAGCCCCCCTGTCCCCCGCCCCGGAGAGGACGGCGAGGGGCAGGGG